TGTTCATATCAGGATTATTGACACGTACTTTTATTATTTCTTGTGAGTATATTTGGGGAATTGGTAAAGTTTCTTCACCTGCTCTTTTTTTCATACGAGATATTGCTTCGTCAAGAACAAGCTTTTTTGGCGAAGATTGTGTACAGGTATGATGACTAGGTTCGCGAATCATGGATATGTTAGCACGACATAATGATAACGAAGTTGTACATGGTCTTTGTCGACACCGCCATTCGTTCGTCTCTTTATATTGCCTTTTAATTGTATATTGATAACCTTGATAGTTAAGTACAAGTGCATTTCGATTAGTAGTTGTGAATTCTAACTTGCTGTTCATTTTTCTAATATAATATGTTTCTAAGAAATAATCTCCGACACATCGTTTGGTTTAAGTTGGAATATGCTATAGGTTCTTAACCAATGAGCAACGATGACGATGATAATTAAATATTCCTCCTTTTGTTTTTATTTTATGAAATATAACTGAACAGAAGAGGGACCGAAATGAGAATCAAGTAATAGGGACCGAATTGAGATAGGACCGAAGTGAGAGATCATCGAATGGGACCGAAAAGGAAAAGGACCGATTCGGACCGAATCGGGGACAGCCCAGAGTGATTCTGTCGATATAAGACACAACAAATTGTCCATATTTGATAAAGAAAGACGCAGATAAGTGAGAGGAGCGACCGCAGTAGTAATGGGCCAAGTTGTCACGTAATAATTCATGCCCAAGTCAAGAGATTGAAAGTAATAGTACTTTGATTGAAAAAGAGATCAAAAAAGCGAAGATTCTGTTCAAATGCATCTTTTAATAGTAATTAATATCATACCGTTGGAAAGTTTTCTGTTTACCATTTGTAATTGATGAAAATCTTTAGACTCTTGAAACAATTCTCACTCTATTATACATTATCGCTACACAAAATCTATTCTCTTTAATATTTATCTCACGACGATTTTCATCACTGTTATCTTTAAAAATGTGATCGCAATAATTATTCAAGCAATATACTTTTCAAATTTAGTTAGAGCTATTAGAGATAGTTTCACAATTTCCACAATGAAATTGTTAGAAAGTCACAGGAAGCTTTATTTGTTTTAATGATTCAACTTTCTTATATGATTGTACGTTGAATTCCACAGATGTATCTTAGAATATGTTACAAGTTTTGATGAACAGATTAGTTCTATTTTCTTTTTTTCTCAATAAAAATTCAAATAATTCCATATGATTGCTTCAAAAAAAAGAACTCATACCGAAAAAAAAGCTATTTTATATTTTAACATATTAACGTAATAATTTAATTACGTAAATCATTGTTTTTTAATCAAATTCATATTTGAATCCGATAACTTTTGAAATAATGAAAATTATTTATCTTTTACAGTCTATGCATACAAATTGGTCCTCTTTTAGCAATATTGTAAAGGAATTTAACGCCACAACAAGATTACCTTTTTAATTGTTACTTAAATGATTCCAATCTATTGAAAACTTTTTCACTTTCGACACAACCCTTACACTCATGCAGTGCTATGTTTAAAGTGAATTAGGACCTACTTTTTTAGAGTTTTACATGAATTAGGAACACATGAGTGATACGTACCGGGACCATTCTTTCGCTTGTTTTTTGATGAGATGAGTGAGTGCTGCTGCATGAAGTAAAACAAAAACTGAAAAATCATCATAATTATATACACCAATGATACGCAGAGTTTTCAAGTGAGGTAAATAAGGCCAATGAGTTAATTGAAATGGAGATGCATCACTATCAATTGAGAGTGATTGAATATGATTCAATGGAAGAAAATTAAGAATTCTATTAAACTGATGGTAACGTGCAAGAGATAAATTAATACGAGAAAAGAAACCTTGTTCAGTTATTAACATTGTTAGGCGATGATTAAGATGAGTCAATCCCCAAAGAATGTCGTAAGATGACAGATACGCAAACACCACGATCAATACTAAATCGGCTAGATCCTCGAAACATGTGACCAACGCCATATATTGATGTAAATAATTGTTTCCAATTTTTTTGTTGATATCTTCTCTTATTTATATTCAATGGCGGACGATTTTTTGCATTTCTTTAAATTAATTGACGGGCAAACAAAGATGGATAATATATGTTGAACATGACCGGTACCATAGCAACTGTGAGATATAAACGAACATTTTTATTTTCGTTCTATATTATTATAAATAGTTCATTCTCAAATAATTGTTTAACAGCTGGATGGGAAACTTATAGAATTACGAGAAAGAAAAATGAGTGTCAAACTTCATATTTATTTCGATTATTAAAAAATATCCAAAATAGTTTTTATAGTTGATATAAATAACAGCATAATTTCAAATAAAAAGTTCATCAAATAATCTACGAAAGAGCTAATATTTTCTTGAGTTTATTGACCATAAGGAACAAATTCTTATACTATTCAAAAAATTCAACAATCGTAACAATTGATTTATAATTTTCTCTTGCTAATATAAAGCCGTACGTGTTTCCATCAATGCAAATTGCTCTCATCAGTTTCTATACATATTAACTACTGAAGCGGAAAAAAGACTAGGAGAAAAGTGTTACAAAATTGAAATTTTAACGGGTGGCCCAGAATAAATGGCGGTCTCATTATTTACTCAATATCTTTTTTGCTCTTCATTCATTTGAACTGAATGTTTCCCCAAAAGATTGAGGATTCAATTCTCTACAAGCTCATGTGTAAAAGATTTTTTAAAACTACAAAATGGCTAACTACTAAAACGAAGAAAAAAAGGTCGAAAAATCTTCAACTCTCCAGCACTAAATCCGTTTTTTTTTTGAAAATTTGCTTTCCATGTCAGGATCTACAAAAAACTCAGTCTACCATGTTAAAGAGCATCAGATCCTGGGCAAGATTCATGTGCTCGAATTTATTTTCCTTATAAAATGAGTAAAAAATTCAGCATCAATTTTTTCGCTTTTTCTAAACAACAGAACTGTTATGTCATGTTTTTGATGCTTGCACTAAAACGCATGCCATTCACTTAAAAAGTGTTATTTTTTGACGATTTTTGTTTTCTTTCAAAGCCAACATACTCGATTACACCCCTGTACACTTGTTCCAGCGATACAAAGTTTCGTTTGCAGTAGACTTTCTTGTAAACCGAAATTCAGGTTTATGGAGGAGTTTTCAGAAAATATCAATTAATAGGCGAAGACCACTTTTAAAGAAATCTGTTTCGAATACATTGAAAAGAACGTACTTGAAAATGCCAGAATATGTTTCTCCCGTAACTTAAGCCTGCGTATAAATGGTCGAAACATGCTTCAACTGTTAATGTATGCTGACCTTGAAAGTTGAAGATTTTTTAACCGTTTCTCTTCGCTTTAGTAGTTAGCCATTTTTTGGGTTGAAAAATCTTTTACACATGAGTTTGTAGAGAATTAAACGCTCAATCTTTTGGAAAAATATTCAGTTCAAATCAATGAAGAGCAAAAAAGATATTGAGCAAATATTGAGACCGCCATTTATTCTGGACCACCCGTTATATTCAAAATTTCAATCAGGAATGAAGAATTTTATTCCAACTGCTGTAAACCGGTTGCAATTCAAAGTCGCATCGAGACAAAATACACTGACTGACTTCGATCTCAGCATACAACAAATTTAAAGCAGACAATAATTTCGTTCTTGGTAATTTTAAGACAGTTCACTAATCTTCAGAAAAATGTTTCTTCTTTGCTGAAAAAATATCTTTGACCAGGTCTCGACTACCAATAACTTTTCTCATTCTAATTATTAGCGTCATATTTATACTACTGCAACCAAGTACGAAATAAGTGACTCCCACTGCATAGCGCGGCACATACCATGTAACCGGTTTGGTCATAAAAAGTGCGTTGTCATTTATTCCGATTTAACATGTGTTCGTGAAGGTATTAAACAATGCTCCCTGTCATCTCCCACGAAATGCCGTCTCACTGAGTTCGTCCTAAATACAGGTCGTTGTCATTTCTCATGACATAGCATGCGCTATTAGAATTCTTAAATAGGGGTCCTTGTCATTTCTCAAGACATAGCATGCTGCTGGCTTGGTCCGAAATAGCGGTGGCTGTCATTTCTGATGACATACCATGTGTTATTCAAAGTCCTACATCGTGGTCCTTGCCATTTCTCATGAGATGCCATGTGTTATTCAAAGTCATAAATAGTGGTCCTTGTCATTTCTCATGACATAGCAAGTTGCTGGGTTAGTCCTAATTAGTGGTCGTTGTCATTTCTGATGACATAGCATGCTGCTGGGTTGGTCCTGAATAGTGGTCGTTGTCATTTCTCATGACATACCATGTGTTATTGAAAGTCCTAAATAGTGGTCGTTGTCATTTCTCATGACATACCATGTGGTTATGAAAGTCATAAATAGTGGTCTTTGTCTTT